CCCCGAGAGCATCGACGTCGCCGTCGCCGTCGACGTCGATCGCGAAGACGGACCGGGCGCCGGCCGCCGAGTCGGTGATGATGTGCTCGGTGAAGGACTGGGACCCGTCGTTCTCGTACCACGCGACCGTGTCGGCCTGGTAGGACGCCGAGAGCAGGTCGACGTCGCCGTCGCCGTCGACGTCGATCGCGAAGACGGAGCAGGCGCCGTTCGCCAAGGTCGTGAGGACGTGCTCCGTGAAGGACTGGGAGCCGTCGTTCTCGTACCACGCGACCGTGTCGTCGTTGTAGGACGCCGACAGCGCGTCGACGTCGCCGTCGCCGTCGACGTCGATCGCGAAGACGGACCAAGCCCTGTCCGCCAGCGTCGTGATGATCCGTTCGGCGAACGACTGGGATCCGTCGTTCTCGTACCACGCGACGGTGTCGTCGTCAGCGGACGCCGAGAGCGCGTCGACGTCGCCGTCGCCGTCGACGTCGACCGCGTAGACGGAGTAGGCGGCGTCCGCCAAGGTCGTGAGGACGCGCTCCGTGAAGGATTGGAACCCATCGTTCTCGTACCAGGCGACCTTGTCGTCGACGGCAATAGCCGACAGCGCGTCGACGTCGCCGTCTCCGTCGACGTCGAGCGCGTAGACGGAGCGGGGGTCGTCCGCGAGCGCCGTGATGACGCGCGCCGTAAAGGACTGCGACCCGTCGTTCTCGAACCACGCGACCGTGTCGTCTTCCCTGGACGCCGACAGCGCGTCGACGTCGCCGTCGCCGTCCACGTCGATTGCGTAGACGGAGTAGGCACCGTTCGCCAGCGTCGAGATGACGCGCTTCGTAAAGGACTGGGAGCCGTCGTTCTCGTACCACGCGACGGTGTCGTCGTCGCCCGACGCGGCAAGAGCGTCGACGTCGCCGTCGCCGTCAACGTCGAGCGCGTAGACGGAGCGGGGACCGTCCGCCGAGTCGGTGATGACGCGCTCGGCGAACGCGACGCTCGTGCAGAAGACCACACGACGAGGCGTCGGGGCCGCCGTCGTCGGCTCCGAGGTCGCCGTCGGCGCGGGCGTCGGCGCGGTCGGCCGCGGCGCCGGCGTCGGCGCGCTCGTCGCGCAGTCGTTCTCGTACCAGACGACGTCGTCGAGCGTCGCAAACGCCACGAGGAAGTCCGCGTCCCCGTCCCCGTCGACGTCGGCCGCGGCGGGGGCGCGCGGCTTGTCGCGGTCGTCGACGTCGATCTCCTCAAAGGTCCCGGACCCGTCGTTCTTGTACCAGGCGACCTTGGCGCCCGCGTGGGCTATCGCGAGCAGGTCGACGTCGCCGTCGCCGTCGGCGTCCGTCGGGTAGACGCCGTAGGCGCCGTCCATGAGCGTGGTGACGACGCGCTCGGTAAAGGACTGCGCTCCGTCGTTCTCGAACCACGCGACCATATCCTGGCCGTAGGTCGCGACGAGGCCGTCGACGTCGCCGTCGCCGTCGACGTCCGCCGCATTGACGGCGTAGGTGTCCAGCTCCTGGGTGATGACGCGCCTCGTGAAGGACTGGGCCCCGTCGTTCTCGTACCACGCAAAGCCGTCGCTGTAGCCGACCACGAGCGGGTCGAGGTCGCCGTCGCCGTCGACGTCGGCGACGACCATGTTGAAGCCGCCGGTCGCCTGCGTCGTGATGACGTGGCCGGTAAAGGACTGTTCGCCGTCGTTCTCGTACCACTCGACAAATGGATCGCTGGCAGAGGTCGCCTGGAGCGCGTCGACGTCGCCGTCGCCGTCGACGTCGGCCGCGACGACTGTGCGAGAATATTGCCTTGCGTCCGTGATGACGTGCTCGGCGAAGGACTGTTGGCCGTCGTTCTCGTGCCACGCGATGACGCCGGCGATCTCGCTGGTCGCCGACAGCGCGTCGACGTCGCCGTCGCCGTCGACGTCGATCGCGAAGACTTTGTAGGCCTGGTTCGCCGAGTCGCTGATGATGCGCTCCGTGAAGGACTGGGACCCGTCGTTCTCGTGCCACGCGATGGTGTCGTCGGCGTAGGATGAGACCAGGACGTCGACGTCGCCGTCGCCGTCGACGTCGATCGCGACGACGGCGTTCGGGGCGTCCGCGATCGCGACGGTCTGCGCCGCGGAGAACGAGACGCTCGTGCAGAACGTCGTCGCCTCCGGCGTCGGGCTCGGCGCCGTCGGAGCGGGGCTCGCCGACGGAACGGGGCTCGTCGACGGCGCGGCGGTCGGCGCGCGCGAGGCGCAGTCGTTCTCGTACCACGCGACCGTGTCGTAAATGGTGATCGCCGACAGCACGTCGACGTCGCCGTCGCTGTCGACGTCGATCGCGAAGACGGAGTAGGCGCCGTACGCGAGCGTCGTGATGATCCGCTCGGAGAAGGACTCGGACCCGTCGTTCTCATACCAGGCGACCGTGTCGTCAGTCTGGGACGCCGAGAGCGCGTCGACGGCGCCGTCGCCGTCGACGTCAATCGCGAAGACGGAGCGGGCGCCGTCCGCCGCGTTCGTGATGACGCGCTCGGTGAAGGACTGGGAGCCGTCGTTCTCGTACCACGCGATCGTGTCGTCCGTGTAGGACGCCGACAGGGCGTCGACGTCGCCGTCGCCGTCGACGTCGAGCGCGTAGACGGAGCGGGGGTCGTCCGCGAGCGTCGTGATGACGCGCGCCGTAAAGGACTGCGACCCGTCGTTCTCGAACCACGCGACCGTGTCGTCGTCTTGGGACGCCGAGAGCACGTCGCCGTCGCCGTCGCCGTCGACGTCGAGCGCGAACACGGAGAAGGCGGCGTCCGCCGAGTTTGTGATCACGCGCTCGGTGAAGGACTGAAAGCCGTCGTTCTCGTACCACGCGACCGTGTCGACGCCGGTGGACGCCGAGAGGACGTCGACGTCGCCGTCGCTGTCGACGTCGATGGCGTAGACGGAGTAGGGGTCGGCGAGCGTCGTGATGACGCGCTCCGTGAAGGACTGGGAGCCGTCGTTCTCGTACCACGCGACGGTGTTGTCGCCGTAGGACGCCGACAACACGTCGACGTCGCCGTCGCCGTCGACGTCGATCGCGAAGACAGAGTGGGCGTAGTCCGCCGAGCCGGTGATGGCGCGCTCCGCGAAGGACTGCGACGCATCGTTCTCGTACCACGCGACCGTCTTGTCAAAAATGGACGCCGAGAGCGCGTCCACGTCGCCGTCGCCGTCGACGTCGATCGCGAAGACGCAGACGGCACCGTCCGCGAGCGTCGAGACGACGCGCTGCGAGAAGGAGGCGGGCGCGCAGGCGTGCGACGACACGTAGGGGGCGCCGTCGTAGTAGAGCGCCGCGGTTTCGCCGTCGTCGACGACGCAGTAGTGGTGCCACGCGCCGCCGTCCGCGCCGTCGAGGCGGTACGCGGCCGACGCGCCGGACGCGGACGTGACCTCGACGGTGCCGGCGGTCGCCGTCGTGGCGAGGCCGAAGCCCGTGGACGCGTCGCGGAAGACGGCGCCGCCGTTGAAGGCGTCGAGCGCGGCCCAGAGGCAGACGGACCGCGACGCCGCGGCCGCGGCCGCGGCGGGCCAGGGCACCGTCGCGTAGTCGTCGGCGCCGTCGAAGCGGAGCGCGGGCGAGCCGTCGTGGCTCTCGCCCTCGACGGCGCCGACGACGGTGCCGTCGAGGCCCCCGAGGTCGTCGGCCGCGGCGCCGCCGTCGAACGCGTAGTGGCCCACGAGCGACGGCTCGCGGAGGTACGTGGGCTGCTGCGTCGGCGCCTTCATGGCGTTGTAGACCCAGGCCACGGCGTCGCCGTCGAGGGCCGACGCGTAGACGTAGACCTCGTCGAGCTTGCCCGAGAGCGCGTACGCGCCGGAGCCGTCGCCCGCGGTGCCTGCGCGACGCGCCGGGACGTCCGAACGCGAGAGCTCTCTCGCTCCGTCGCATGGATGCGGCCGCGTTTGGGACGCATCGATGGCTCTCGTCGCGCGCTCGAAGCACCCGCGCTCTCGGATCGACGCCGGCCCGAAGATTCGAGTGCCGCGCGGCGCGCGCGCCCGTGCGGGCGCCGAAGTAGAGGCCGTAGTCCGCGCCCGTGTCGAGGGCGACGGCGCCGCCGGCCTCGTAGAGGCCGTCGAAGTAGAGCGCCCAGTCCGACCCGTCGTAGGTGAGGCAGTAGTGGTGCCAGGCGCCGTCGTCGGAGCCGGCGACGTCGACGTCGACGTCGTAGCCGTCGCCGCCGTAGAACTGGACCTGGATGCGCCCGTCGACGGGCGTCGGGTTGCCGCTGTCCGTGGAGAGGCCGAACTCCTCGCCGTCGGCGTCGGAGCCGACGGAGAAGAGCGCGCCGCCGTCGAAGGCGTCGACGACGGCCCAGGCGCAGACGGTCCTCGGGAGCGCGGCCGAGACGTACGACGACACCGCGCCCGCGCCCGCGTACTGGCCCGAGCCGTCGAAGGCGAGGGCGCCGCGCTGATCGAGGCCCGTCGTCGCCGTCGCGCCCGAGACGAAGCCGTCGAGGCCCGCGCCGGAGTCGTCCGCGGCCGTGCCGTCGTCGAACGAGTAGTGCGCGACGAGGCTCGAGGCCATCGCGTAGGCCGTCGGCGCGGGGGAGGCCGTCGGCGCGGGCGTGAACGACACCTGGAACGCGACGGCGTCCGTCAGCGACGGGTCGTCGGCGCAGGCGAGCGTCAGCGTGTACGCGTTGACCTCGGCGTCGCCCGCGACCGTGGTCTCGAGCGAGCCGTCGTTGTCCGTCGTCGTCGTCGCGACGACGGTCCCGTCGACGTCCGCGACGGAGACGTCGAGCGTCGCGCACGCGCTCGCGTCGCCGCGGTAGACCCAGGTGAGCACGCAGGCGACGTTGGCGACGCAGGTCGAATCGACGCCGATGGCCGAGACGGCGAGGAAGGAGGCCGTCGGCGCGGCCGTCGAGGGCCCGGGCGTCGGCTGGGGCGTCGGCTGGGGCGTCGGCAGGGGCGTCGGCAGGGGCGTCGGCTGAGGCGTCGGCTGAGGCGTCGGCTGAGGCGTCGGGTCGTAGAGGTAGCAGACGACGCCCGCCTGCTCGCCGTTGCCGCAGTTGTGCGCCGAATTGTACGCGCACGCCGCGAGGTAGTTCTCGGAGCCGCCGCAGCTCACGTCGTCGTAGACGAAGTTGCCGCCGTTGTCCGCGGAGCCGAAGTAGTTCGTCGACGTCGCCGACCAGGCCTGGTAGCCCGTCCCGAAGACCTGCCGGCAGACGACGTCCGCGTCGGCGATCTCCCAGCCGTCGTCGCAGACGTTGCCCCAGGCGTTCGTCGCCGGGTTGAGCGCGTAGATCGTGCCCGAGTAGGCGTCCGGGCCGTCGAGGAGCACGATGGACCCCGAGGTGCAGCAGGCGCCCGCGTACTCCGTCCCTCCGCAGTTGTGCGCCGTGGTGCCGGCGCACAGGTAGAGGTACGCCTCGCTGCCGGTGCACTGGATGTCGTCGTAGCCCATGCCGTACCATCCGTCGGTGAGCTGCGAATAGACGTGGTACGCGTACCAGTTCCAGGACCCGGAGGGGCTGCCGGCGCTCACGCCGCCGTAGGCGTCGCGGCAAAAGACGTGGGCGTCGACGATGTCCCAGTAGTCGTCGCAGACGTTATACCAGCTCGACGTGTAGGTGACGACCGTGCCGCAGGTGCTCCCGCCCTGGATGAAGCCGTACTGGCCCGCGGCGACCGCCGGGAGCAGCAGCAGCCTCCACCTGAGAAGTGGATGCGCCATCGCAGAGGCACTCTGGCTGGAAATATAATTCTGCGGTGAAGTGCAATTTATGGATCTTGGGGGCCGATCTTAAATTGTTTAGCGGTCGCGCGCGCGCGGGGCGGCGCCGGCGGCGCCGGCGAGGTCTCGCTGGAGCTCGACATCAGGCATGTTGTGGTCGGGTTCGGTCGCCGACGCGGGGACGAAGGGGCCGTCGTCGGACGGGGCTGCCCCATCGCTTCGGCGCCTCGGGCAGCACTCGGACGCGCCGCCGGAGCGGCGGCATCGTGTGCGCCAGCGAGGGCTGCCTCACGACGACGCCGAGGCCCCGGGGCGCCGCCGGTCACGACGTGAGGTCGGAGTGCTGCGTCTCGCAGTCGAGATCGCGCGCGCGCGAGTGGGTGACGGCCGCGGCGCGCGGCGCGCACCGCGCGCCAAACGATCATCGACGCTGCGATGGAACCGACACAGAACTGCGCGGACAGGCGTTGGAGAGCATGTTCGCGGCTCGGTCATTCAAAACCCCCACGCGCGTCTACGCGCGTAGCGAGAAAGGGGGCAGCTCCATGAGCTAGCGGAACCAAATACGTACAGCGAGCCATTAACATTCTAGCTAGGAGAATCTTGAACCTAGAAATTCTGTGAACTGTGAAGGAACGGGTTTGCGCTGGCTAAGAGTTGAGGATCTGAGGGTCGCCTTAAGAGTTGCGCTTCCCATGAAGTTGTCTGTGTCCGGCGCCAGTACTTTTCGTGGAAGATACGCAAAGACCCAAGAGAGAGAGAGAGAGATCGCACTAGTTTTGTTGACGACCCTCGTGGGGCCTGATGCTTTCGTCCGGATGTGCCTGGGTCTAAAGTCCGGCCAACCGGAGCTGCCGGCGGGCCTCCAAGAGAGGCAGTTTAAGTACCCCAAAGAGCTCTGCCAAGCAGAGTACCCCTTGCGGCCAGTCCCCGCGCAGCCCCCCCAGTAAAACCGCAGCCCCCCGCCATGGCCCCGAGCATGCGGCCGAAGCGCAAGACCCCCGCGGACGCCCAGTTCCTCACGGGCGACGACTACGCCGAGGCCCACGACCTCAGCGAGCGCGACGCCGTGCTCGGCGGCCGGCGGTGCCGCAAGAAGGCCAAGGGCGGCGCCGCCTCCTCGGGGGGCCAGCTCACGCAGGAGGAGCTCGGCCGCATCGGCGGCCGCTGCGCCGGGCGCATCGGCGAGAACCGCTACGTCGCGGGCGTCGTCAAGGACAGCCGGAGCCGGTGCCAGTTCCGCGGCTGCGCGCGGCGCTGCCTCGTGCCCGGCGACTCGCGCCTGGGCAAGCGGCCGCCGAGCCTGCGCCACGGCACGTCCCTCAAGACCACGTGGTACCACCTGCCCTGCGCGTTCGCGGCCTTCCGCGGCTGCGCGCGGAAGTCGAAGGTCGTCACGGCCCTCGCGGACATCGAGGAGGGCCTCGACGAGCTCCCGGCGGAGGACCGGGCCCTCGTCGCCGCGCTCATCGACGAGTTCAACGACGACCGCGCCCGCGAGGAGGCCGCGCGCGCGGCGATCGCGCACGACGACCGCCGCGCGCCGCGGCCGCGGCGCGAGAGCCGCTGGGCGCGGCCCGCGGTCGTCTCCTTCGACGGCTCCACGGACGGCGAGTGGTCCGTCTACTCGTCGGCGTCCAAGCCGCACCCCTGCACCGTGTCGCTCGCGCTGCCCTCCCGGAGCCTCCTCGACGCGCCGCCGCCGCCGGTCGTCGTCCCGCGGAAGGCGCCGCCCCTCGTGCCCCGCCCCCGGTCCGCGAGCCTCGACGCCGACGTCGCCCTCGAGGCCCTCGACAACGACCGCTTCCTCGCGTCGCCGGGGCACTCGCCGCGCGGCGCCGCGCCGCCGCCGCCGCTCCAGCTCGAGACGGACGACGACGACGACGTCGCGGACTTCGACTTCTTCGACGGCTTCGACTTCGACGAGGCCTTCGGCCCGGGCTTCGAGGAGCCCCCGAAGCCGTCCTTCCTCGCGAAGCGCCTCCTCGACGACCCGGAGACCGACGCGGTCTTCGCGCTCTGCGCGCCCATCGACGGCGACTGGCCCCTGCCCCTCGACCTTGCGGCCTCCGCGTGAGCGCCCCGCCCCCCCCGCCCTAAGAGCCCACGCCCTATGATAGCCGGGGACGGGCGCGTCGTCGCGACCCCGCGGCCGCCGCGCGGAAGGAGCCGAAGGGGGCGCCCCGGCCCCCCGCCCTACGAGGTCCGCGCCCTAGCAGAGGAAGGAGCCGAAGAGGGACGTGTCGACGGCGTTGGACCAGTCGTGGCACCAGAGCGAGTCGAGGGACACGACGGGCTTGAGGCACCGCGACCGCGCCTGTGCCGAATTCAACCACTGGTTTGGGTGGTCCTGACCAAACTTGAGAATTCTCTAGCTCGGTCAAATCGAAGTCGATTCGGCTGATTTTTGGACGAATCGATTGCTCTCATCGAGTTCTCGAAGCGAAGCCAAAGGAATTGCGTCGAAACATTCGCGTACGCTCACATTGAAGTCGGGTTGAAGATTTGAATTCGGCACCGCGACCGCGCGGCCAGGAGCGCGTAGGCGAGCCGGTCGACGTTCGACGTGAACTTGCCGACGAAGGCGTCGCAGCGGGCGAGGATGGCGACGTCGTCGAGCACGGACGACGCCGCCGCCGACGCGTCGAAGGAGCGCCGCGCGCGCGCCGCCGTGCCGTCGAGCACCTGGGAGACGTCGGTCCGTCGGTCCGTCGTTTCGGCCGACGTTCGGACGGGCGATCGTCGCCCGGCGCGAGCGCGCGCGGCATTCGGCCCCGGTCGCGCGCGGCGTCCCAGAGCGGCGGCGGCTTGTCCGCGGGCGGCGCCGCGGCCGCCTGCGAGGGCGCGGAGGGTCGCGGGCTCGGGACGAGGCGACGCGGGCGCCGGCGGCCGCCGTGAAGAAGACGGGCAGGCCCGCGGCGGCGCCCGCGGCGCGCGCCTCGGCGACGACGGACGGGTCGTCCGTGGCGACGAAGACGGACCGCACGCCGTAGCCTGCGGGGGCCCGCGGTGTGGCCGCGCGGCCCGAACGCTCGCCGCGACGCGGGCCGTCGCGCGCGCGCATCGCGAGCCTGGGCAGGAAAAGAGAGATTCAACGTCGCTTCAACGTGAGCGTTCCGCGCGCGCGCGTTCCGGGAAACACATCCACGCTTCGAGAGATGATCGCCCGTCCAAAAATCAGCCAAAACGAGTGGAACACGGCCGAGCTAGGACGTTTTGCACCCTTTTCCCGCGCCGATCGCGAGCGCGTGGTACCAGTACTCGCCGAAGGGCGAGCAGCGCCGCGCCTTGGACGCCTCCTGGGCCGCGCGGCACGAGTCGCCGCGGCGCACGTGGACGCCGAGCAGCGGCCGCGGCGCGCGGCGCACGCCGGCCGCGGCCGCGGCGCGCGCGAGGCGCGCGCGGCTCGCCGCGTTCGGCCGCGCGAGGTGCGCGAGGAGCTGGGCGACGTACCAGAAGTCGCCGCGGTCCTCGACGCCGCGCGGCGCGGGCGCGCGGTCGCGCTTCATCGCGGACGCCCGGAGCGTCGGGACCGCGCACGTGTCGCCTGGGCAGGAAAAGAGTGATTCAAGTTCGCTTCAACGTGAGTGTTCCGCGCGCGCGCGTTCCGGAAAAAGCATCCATGCTTCGAGACCGTTCCGAGAGATGATCGCTCGTCCAAAAATCAGCCGAAACGAGTGGAAAACGGCCGAGATAGGAGCCTTTTCAAGTTGGGAACTTCGCTCTCTTTTCCTGCCCTGCGCGTCGCCGCCGCAGGCGCCGCGCGCCGCGCCGGACCGCCACGCGCGCGGGATGTCGGCCTCGCCGAGCGCCTCGATGGCGTCGTAATCGCCGCACTCCGGCGCCGCGGCGCCGCCGCAGGCGTTCGCGCGCTTCCGCCGCGCGCGCTTGAGCGCCGCGGCGGCGGCGGCCGGCGGCCGCGGCCGCGCGGCCGCCGCGCCCGCGTGGGGCGCCGGGTAGCCGAGCGCCCGCTCGCAGCGCGGCGCCGTCGGGAGGAAGTAGCAGGCGAGGGACGCGCAGGACCCGTTGGCGTAGGCGCCGAGCGGCGGCGTGAGCATCGTCCGGTTCGCCGCGACGGCGTACCTCAGCGGCAGCACGAGCGCGTTGAGGTGGCTCCCGAGGGCGTTCGTGCCCCCGACGGGCAGGAACGGGTCGGCGCAGGCTTCGCCCAGGGACCGCAGGAGCGCGTGCAGCGCGTCGGCGTCGGCGTCCCGCGGCGCCTCGGCCGCAAAGGTTGCGGGCTCGGGCAGGAAGGCGTTGGACCGCTCGAGCGCCGACCGCTGCGCGCGCGTCCACGGCACGCAGAGGTGCTCCTTCGCCGCGGCGACGGCGAGCGCCGAGAGCGTCGCAACGCGGAGCATCGGGGTTCGAGGCGGCGCTTTTTCAGGGCTCCATCGTGGATTCGAAGTTTGGTGATGCACAGCTCGAGAAGTCGCGTATGGCCGTCAGTGCAGACAAAATCCAATACGCCGCGTTCGACAGAGGCGCCCACTGCGCGGTCATGGCTCGTAGCATCGTCATGATGCGCGCCCTCGGCTGGCGGCTCCATCGTGGTGCGATGGGCACCGCCGGGGCTGCTCATGTTGGCCCCATGCCGCGAACCGGTCGTGACTCCAGCACCCCTGGCGCCGTGTCGCCGAGCGACGATTGTCCCAAGCAGATCCAAATCGCGCCGCACATCAATTTCAAAACCGCGCGACGCCGCGTCCACACGCTCGCGCGCCGCCCCTCGCTCGCGCGCCGCCCCTCGCCGCCTCCCCTCGCCTCCGCGCCCCGCGCGTCGTCGCCCCGCGAGCCGCTGGACCACCACACCCTTCCAGGTATTAGTACATCATGGGCAACACCGGCTCGTCATCGCGCTCCACGCGCCGCCGCGCGGCCGCCGCGCTCGAGGGCAACGTCACGCTGCGCGCGCTCAACACCGAAGGCGTCATGAGCAACATCCTGGGGTGCCTGACGCACCGGTACTCGCCGTCGGCGCCGACGCTCGAGCGCGAGAACGCCATGCTGAACTCGCCCAAGTCCACGGGCGTGTTCAAGAAGGACATCGACGGCATCAACTCCGAGGGCCAGGTGCTCTACATCGCGCTCTCCCACTCCGTGCTCCTCAAGCCTCGCCTCGTGAACAAGCAAGGCACAGATCGCGCCAACCCTGCAATCGAGCTCTGGCCCCTGCCCCGCGCCACGGGCAAGGACATCATCAAGTGCGGCTCGACGTCGCCCATCTGGTGGACGCCCCAGGCGGACACGTTCTACTCCCACGACAGCTGGCGCGTCGACAGCGGGTGCCTCTTCGCCTACACGAGCATGAAGAAGATGCCCATCTGGTCCGACGGCGTCTACGGCATCAAGGTCGAGAACGAGCACGAGACGCTCACGGGCGGCCCCAAGCTGAAAGGCCAAAAGTCCCGCCACGCCTGCGCGCGCGTCTTGAACGCCGAAGAGCTCGACGGCCGCGCGCTCGCCGACGTGCCGGATGGAGTGCTCCACATCTACAACATGTTGCCCGACGGGCACCCGGGCAAGGCCTTCATCCGCCACGCCCTCACGCTCGGGGTCGGCGACGCCACGAACTTCTCCGTGTGCGTCTGCCTCATGGGCCTCGAGGCGGCCAAGCTCCTCGCGCAGGCCAAGTTCGGCGAGGAGGACATCATCAAGACGATGCGCTGGATTGAGAAGGCCTCGGGAGTGGCGGAGAACTACGTGGGCGACCTCTACAAGCTCGGCGCGGCCATGGCGCACTACTCCTTCAACCGCCTCATCGTCCCGCTCCACGACTTCTACGTGGTCTGCGAAAAGGGTGACATCATCTACCTCCCCGGCGGCGAGGACGGCATCGGCCGCGCCTATCGGGCGCTGAGCCAGATCAGATTCTACGACTCCTCGCTCGTCGTCGTCGACCCGCCGGCCGGCGTCGAGGGCCCGGGGCTCCTGACCAAGGTGTCGCGCGTCGAGCCGCCCCTGTTCAACGCCTTCGGCGACGGCGTCGACTATCTGTCCATTTGGGAGCACACGGAGATTCTTCGAGAGATGAAGCGTCTACGTTGGTTTCCCGTCGACTCGATCTGCCAGGACGTCGTCGCGGTTGTTCACCGCCACGTCGTCGCCGGCGACGGCGGAACTATCCTGCTCGCGGCAACCGATGGGAAGAAGGTCGTGTCGATCTCGACGCACAAGACGGCGGACCTGCACCGCTGGGGCGGCGAGTACCCGTCGCACCTGACGTCGGGCCAGTTCTACGAGCGAGTGGTCAACGGTCGCGCCTGGGCCAACACCAACGCGCCGGAGGCGCGCGGACCGTACTTCCGCGGGAACGTGTTGTCGCGATCCCATGTGAATTCGCACCAGAAGCTGCTTTCCGTCGCGATGGTCGCTTCGGGCGCCGTCTCCTCCGACGAGCTCGCGGCGGCCAACTGGCCGACCATGGTCGGCATGATCACGGCGGCCGACTTCCAATCCGAAGCCTACTGCACACTGGTGACGCGCGCCATGGGGTACATCCAAGACGAGGGCTCCAACGCCCCCGTAGGCGGCCTGCCCGACCCCGAGTGGCGCGCGGCCCTCCACGCGGCCCTCCTCCACATCTAGGCCGGCGCGAGCTAACGTCTACCGGAAGGTGAAGCGGCGCAACAACCTCGTGCCCATCTCGTGCCCGTCGAGATGAGCAAAGTCGTAAGCATGTTAGGTAAGCCGTTGCGTCCCACCCCGGACCTCAAGCCTAGAAGATGCCGCGCGCAGGGAGAAAAATTAGCGCTTCTTCAGGAGCGCCAGCGCGACGAGGCCTCGCGCGGCGGCCGCGCGGCGCGCGCGCCCGCTCCGCCGGCGGCGGCGGCGGCGCGCCGCTGACCTACTACAGCGCCTGGTTCTGCCCCTTCGCGCACCGGGCGACGATCGCGCTGGAGCACCACGGCATCGACTACGAGTGGGTCGAGGCGCTCGGCTGGGAGCGGCGCGAGGCGTCCGGCGACGAGGACTTCGACGCGAGCGAGCGCGACGACTGGTGGTACCACTGGAAGCACCCCGACCTCCTCCGGGCGAACCCCGACGGCATGGTGCCGACGATCACGTCGGCCGACGGCCGTTTGGTCGTCACGGAGTCCATCGTCTGCTGCCAGTTCGCCGACGGCGTCGCGGCCGCGCGCGGCGGCGCGGCGGCGCCGCTCGTGCCGGCGGACCCGTGGGAGGCGGCGCGCGCGCTCGTCTGGGCGAGCCGCGTCAACACGACGGTGACGTCCGAGTACTACAAGTGCCTCGTGCGCACCGACGAGACGGAGCGGCGCGAGGCCTTCGACCGCCTCGTCGAGGGCCTCGCGCACTTCGCGGAGGCCAAGCGCGGCACCTTCTTCTCCGGCGAGGGCCTGGGCATCGTCGACTGCGTGCTCCTCCCCTACGCGTTCCGCCTCTACGTGCTGGAGCACTACCGGGGCTTCGCCGTGCCCCGGGACCGGCCCTGGTCCGACGCCTACTTCGCGTGGCTCGACGCCGCGACGGGCCTGCCGAACGTCGCGAAGACGCTCCCGGACAAGGCCAAGTACCTCAAGCACGTCGCCAAGTACGCCCACGGCGCCGCCCGCTCCAAGGTCGGCAACGCCGTCCGCCGCGGCGCCAACGCCCACGACTACGACCACAAGATCGACGGCGACGCGGCCGCCTAGGGGGTTACGGTGACCTGGAGAAGTCGCCGTGGCGCCATACTTTTCCTTGTTGCCCCGCGGAGTCGCCGGTTCTTAACCACGTGCGGCCGCCACCAGCGCGATAGCGACAGCGAGGAGAGCGGGAGACGGACGGCGAGCAGTCGGGGCGCCGGAGACGTCTAGGTCGTCGTTGTCGTCGTCGTCGGTGGGCGTGCTGCTCCGGCCGTCGCACAGCAAGAAACGCGTCAGCTCCAACTCATCGGCGTTTCCGCCGCGCATCGGCGTTTCCGCCGCGCCAGACGCCGATGAGTTGGAGCTGACGCCACGGTGAAGAGAGGCAGCCCTCAGTGGGAACGATGGCGCGCTGCTCCGGCCATGCGCCGCCGCGCAAGAAACGCCGATGAGCGCCGCGCTGCTCCTCGCGGCGGCGGCGCAGGCCTGCGGCGGCCCGCGCATCGTGCTCTTCAAGCATTTCCACGCGGTGTCGCCGGCGTCCATGTGCCCGGCCTGCTTCGCCTACGCCGTCACGTTCCGCGGGCCCCTCGCGCGCATCGTGAGCCACATGCGCTTCGCGGGCCTCGACGCGCGCGCGGTCGCGGCGCTCCTCGACAATTTCACGGTCGCGCCGTCGCCGGTCTGGGGCCGCGGCAGCGCCTGGTTCACGAACCTGTACGTGCGCGAGCTCAGCGGCGTCGACGCCTACGGCGCGCCGCCGGCGGCCGTCGGCGAGGCCGCGCTCGCGGCCGCGGCATCGGCCGTCGCGAACTTCGACGTCGTCCTCATCCTGGAGCACCTCGGCGACCACCTCGCGCAGCTGACATGCGTTCTCGGCTGGGCCGACGTCGCCGAGGTGGCGCTCAACGGCAACGGCCGCGCGTCCTTCCGCGACGTCGCGGGCCTCGACGCGACGTTCCACGACCGGCTGGCCGCGGCGAACCGGCTCGACGGCGCGCTGTTCGCGCGGGCGGTCGCGCGCGCGGAGCTCCTCACGGCGCGCTGCCGCGGGGCGCCTACTTAGAGCCAGTTCTCCTCGAGCACGCGCAGGTCCCCGACGTTCGGTTGCGGCCGCCGCGACGATCGGGGCCGCGCCGCGGACGGGCCGGAGGTGAGCCGCGCGAAGCGCCGCCGCACGTGGGCGGCCCAGGCGTCGAAGTCGGCGCGGTTCGTGATGGCCGCGCCGCGCCGGGCGTCGCCCTCGGGCGCCGCGGCGCCCGCGGCCGGCTCGGGCCAAGGAGGCGGCGGCGGGAAGTCGTCGTACTCGTAGAAGGCGTCGGAGAAGCGCTCGAGGTGCAGGTTCCGCGCGACGTGGCGCGCGTGGCGCAGCGACGACGACGACGGCGACTTGACGGGCGTCCGGCTGTGCTTCTTCGCGCTCGCGCTGTTCGCGCGCAGGCGCCGCCGCTCCTCGGCGAGGAAGGCGCTCTTGTGGGCGGCGATGCGCTCCGACCGCACGCCCGCGTCGGCGTAGAGCCGCTCGCAGGCGTGGTGCGCCACACAGACCCCCCGGTCCGGGTCCCCGACGGGGCTCGACAGCACGAGCGCGGCCATCCCGATCGGAGCTGCCCCGACTGCACGTTGTGCGCAAAATCGACCTCACTTAACGATCTTTACCCGCATTCTCCGCGCTCGGCGGCGCCGAGAAACGAGGCTGCCCATGGCGTCGAAAGCAAACCACACCCAGAGCGAACAGCAGCAGCATGCGCCTCCCCAAGTTCGCGCCGTCGAGCATGCACCTCGCCGGCCGCGCGCCGACCGCGATCATCCCGAGCCTCGCGAGGCCCGCGTCGGCGCCGACGACCAAGGGGGCCACGCTCGCGCGGGCCGTGGAGCGCGACGACCACCTCGCGCTCCCGGAGCACTTCAACCGCCCGAAAACGGCACGCCGCGTCGATAGCACCATCGAGATCGGCGCGACCTTGCTACTCCAGCCGAACGAGCTCTTCGCGCTCGCCGCGGTCTTCCGCGATCTGGACGCCGACGCCAACGGCGTCGTCGACGTCGAGGAGTTCCTCGCCCGCGTCGGCGTGCACAATACCTTCGCGCGCCGCGTCTTCTCCATCTTCGACGCCGACGGCGACGGGAAGGTCGACTTCCGGGAGTTCGTCGTCGCGCTCTGGCAGTTCTGCACCGCGGACGACGTCGGCGAGTGCGCGTTCCGCTGCTTCGCGACGCTCCACGAGGGCGTCTACGAGGTCGGGGCCGCCGAGCGGGCCTACCTCGTCGACGCCGTGCACCACCCTTCGAACGAGGCCGCGCGCGTGTCCTTCGGGCTCGTGGACACGTCGCTCGGCGCCGAGGTCCGCGGCGGCCGGCGCCGCGAGGCGACGCGCAAGTCCCTCGCGAAGCTCGGCGACGGAAACGCCGTCGGCCTCCGGGCGTGGAACGCGTGGGTCTCGAAGCACCCCGAGGTCGCGACGCCGTTTCGGCTCGCGCGGCGGGCCCTCCGCGCGGCCTGCGGCGGCGACGAATTCTGGAGCCGCGTCGCGGCCCGTCGACGGGACAAGGGCCTCGGCTCCTGGCTCGATGTCGAGGCGACCCTCGCAGTCGCGCACAACTTCGGCGCGTCGAGCCGCCGCCGCGGCCGCCGCGGCCGCGCGCCGCTCCGCTCCGCCGAGGAGCCGCCGCCCGGCCGCCGCGGCGCGGCGCCGCTCCCGCGCATCGCCTCCGGCGTCGAGGTCGCGGACGCCGCGGCCGCGGAGCACGACACGGTCGCGGCCTACTGCGCGCGGCGCGCGGCCTACGTCATCCCCGACGCGGACGCGCGGCGGCGCTTCCTCGACCCGCCGCGGCGGCGCAAGCTGCCGCGGACCGTCCTCGACCGCCCCGGCCCCCGAGACTCCCTCTACAGCTAAGCGAGCATGCCGAGACTGTCCTCGAGGTCGAAGACGTCGCCCGCGACCCAGGCCCCCGGCGCGGCGCCGCGCGCGTAGCCGTGGACGCGCCGGTGGAGGCACGTCGTCGCGTCGGAGTAGAAGGGCTGCAGCAGGAGCGTGTCGCCGAGCGCGAAGCGCTCGTCGTGGTTCGACACGTCGAGGTACGCGTGCTCCGCGTTGACCCGGCGCACGACGACGCGCGGGTGCGACACGCAGAGGGGCATGCCCTTGAAGGACGCCTTGAAGCCCGCGTCCGCCATGACGACGCCCCTCGACTTCTGCTTGGCCACGGAGACGACCTGGACGACGAGGAAGAGGCACCGCAGGAACGGCGCGGGCGGCCGGAGCCGCGCCATCGTCGCCTGGGCGGGACGAGGGCGCGACGTTCCCGACTTCCTAGCTCGGCCGATTTCCACTCGTTTCGGCCGATGTTTGTACGAGCGATCGTCGCTCGGAGCGGTCTCGACGCGGATGCTCGCGCGCGCGCGGAACGCTCAAGGTTGAAGCGACTTCCCCGTTCCCGCCCCGATCGTCGCTTCGTACGTCGCGCACTGGAAGCACGCGCCGCCGGCCTGGACCTCCGTGACGCCGCCCAGCGTCGCCGCGAGCACGTAGTTGCCGGAGCCCGCGCCGGAGACGACGGCGACGTCGAGGCCCGCGGCCTCGACGGCCGCGCGCGCGGCCGCGAGGCGCGCCGCGACGAGCCGCGTCTCCCGGAGCGCCGCGGGCGACGCGTCCTGCGCGTGGCCGTCGTAGCCCATGAGGCCGTCGAAGACGACGCCCGGCGCGGCGGCCGCCGCCGCGGCGAGCGCGACGATGGACGCGTGGTCGCCGTGGGGCACGCCGCAGCGGCCCTGGCCGACGTCGACGTCGACGAGGACCCGGATTTCCGCGCCCGCGGCCGCCGCGGCCCGGGACAGCGCCGCGAGGTTCGCTTCGTCGTCGACGGCGACGCTCACCGTCGCCCGCGCGCCGAGCGCGACGAGCGCGGCGATCTTCGCTTCGCCGACGACCTCGTTCGCGACGAGGACGTCGCCGACGCCCGCGTCGACGACGGCCCGCGCCTGGGACACCTTGGCGCACGTGATGCCCACGGCGCCCGCGTCCACGCACGCCTTGGCGAGCGCGCCGCAGCGCAGCGCCTTCGCGTGCGGGCGCCAGCGGCAGCCGCTCGATCGGACGTGCGCGGAGAGGGCCGCGGCGTTGTGGCGGAAGGCCTTCGCGTCCATGACGAGCGCCGGCGTGTCCAGGCCGTCGGCCTTCGCCGCGTCCAGCAGGCCGGCGTAGTTCTCGCCGAAGCCGAAGACCGCGGCCGCCGCGCCCGGCGCGTCGAGCGTGTTCGTCAGGGCCCGCCCCGGCGTCGCCGCCTCGACGACGGTGCCGCCGTCGACGACGAAGACGCCGCCCACGAGCACGTGGGCCACGTCGACGCGCGGCTGCTCGCCCTCGAAGGCCACGCGGCGCCGGCGGTCGTCGAACACGGCGACGTCCGCGTCGCAGCCGACCTGTGTGGAATTCAAATCTTCAACCCGACTTCAATGTGAGCGTATGCGACCGTTTCGACGCAAGCTCTTCGGCTGTGCTTCGAGAACTCGACGAGAGCAATCGATTCGTCCAAAAATCAGCCGAATCGACTTCGATTTGACCGAGCTAGAGAATTCTCAAGTTTGGTCAGGACCACCCCAAACCAGTGGTTGAATTCCACACTGCAGCCGACCTGGAGCCGCCCCTTGGCCCGGAAGGCCGCGCAGGCGTGCTCGAGGCGTAGGGCCGGGTGGAGCGTCATCTTCGCCAGCGCCTCGAGCGTCGACAGCGGGCCCCGGTCCCGCGCGAGGCCCCCGAGGAGCGCCGAGAACGTCCGCGCGGCGCGCTCCGACGGCCGGCCGCCGTCGTCGACGGGCGGGCAGCCCGACGCGACCAGCGCGGGCGGATGGAGGAGCATCGCGTCGCCGCGCGCGCCCGCGACGCTCACGAGGCCGTGCTCGGCCTCGCCCGGCCCGACGAGCGCGCGCTTCCGCTCGAGCGACTCCGCCGTGAGCGTCTCGCCCGTCGCGAGCCAGGCCACCCCGCCCGGGTCGTCGAGCCGGAGCCGCGCGTCGAAGCCCGGCGCGAAGACGGGGCTGTCGAGGCGGTAGAGGTCCGAGCCAAAGGGACCGCGCGAGGCCGTGACGTCGACGGTCCTCCGCGACCGGTCCAGGAGCTCCACGAGCAGCGGCAGGTCGTCGGGGGCGCCCGCGCCGAGCTCGAGCACGTGCGCCGGCGCGCCCGTCGCCGCCGCGCACGCGACGACCTCCCGCAGGTCGGCGAGCGCCGCCGGCGCGCCGGCGCGCGGCGTCGCGAAGACCGCGGCGCCCCAGCGCGCGGCGGCGTCGAAGCAGCGCAGCACCTCCTCGGCGTCGGCGCCGGGCACGTAGCGCAGGCACAGGGCGACGCCGAGCGCGCCGTCGCGGAGGCCGTCGTCGAGCCGCGAGAGCACGCGGCGGCCCGTGCGCGGGTCGCTCCGCTGGCTCGCGGACGCGTTGCCGCAGCAGAAGCAGGCGCTGCTCAGGTGGGGCTCGTCGTGGTGGGGGTCGTAGCGCACGACCTCGCAGGTCGCCGTCATCGAGTTGTTCCGCGACCGCCGCCGCTCCATCATCTCGTCGGTCATGCGGCCGCTCCTCCGCCGCGGCGGCGGCGACGCGGGGCCGCCCGGCGACCCCGGCTCGTTGGTCCGGTCCGCGAAGGCCGCGGCGCGGCAGCACGAGAAGCCCGCCGCGACGCCGTAGTGGAGCAGCTGGCCGCCCGCGCGGCACCGGAGCCACTCCGCGACGTCCGAGCAGCCGAGGCCGAGCTCGAGGTGCGTCGTGACGCCGTCGAGCGCCTGGGCGCGCGCCGTGGGGCCGTGGCCGGCGCCGTGGGAGTGGACATCGATGAAGCCCGGCGCGACGCAGAGGTCGCTGCAGTCGACGACGCGCGCCGCCTCCGGCACGGGCGCGGCGCCGTCGACGACGCACGCGATGCGGCCGCCCTTGATGCCCACGTGCCGCACGCCGTCGAGGCCCGTCTCCGGGTCCAGCGCGCGGCCGTGGGCCAGCACGACGTCGAGCATCGCAGCCTTTTCTGCTGCTTTCGAGGCAGCCCAGACTGCGCGACAGAAGATGGGCTGCAAGGGGGGTTCAAATACAAAGGCAATTCCACGCGACGTGCACCAAACGAAAAATGAGGCTGTTTCCGGGACTGCGAGTGATGTCCTGCCTTCCTCGGCGCTGAACTCGTTGGAAGGTTCGCCTCCGCGCGTTCCAGTCGCCGGCCTCGACGCGCCGCGACACGAGCTCGAGCTGTAATGGAATGACGCGGCGTCTGGGCTGCCCCTGGGCCGCCCTCCTCGGCGCGGCCGCGGCGCGCGGCAGCCCCACCGTCGGCTGCTTCGGCGACTCCATCACGCGGGGCGACGCGTCCCACGAGGGCGGCGGCGTCATCGCGGCGCGCGGCAACTACCCGCTCGCGCTCGCGGACTTGCTGGGCGCGGCCGTCGGCAACTACGGCGTCTCCGGCGCGACGGCCGCCTCGTACGCGGCGACGGACGAGTACGCCGCGGGCGTCGCGAGCGAGCCCGACTACGCCGTCGTCATGCTCGGCCACAACGACGCCAAGGGCGCCTTCGACGAGGCCGCGTTCCGCGAGGACTACGGCCGCGTGCTCGCGTCCGTCGGCGCCGCCGCGGGCGCGGTCTTCGCGCTGACGCCCGTGCCGGCCATCGGCGCCTGCTGCGGCATCGACATCGACATCGTCAACGACGAGCTCCCGGGCGCCGTCGCCGGCGCCGTCGGCGACCTCGGCGGCGGCTTCGTCCTCGTCGACGCCGCGCGCGGCTGGACCGACGCGACCGCGTGCTTCCCCGAGGCCTCGCGGCCGGCGACCTGCGCCGACTACTACGTCGCCGACGGCCTCCACCTCTCGGCGCAAGGCTCGGACCTCCTCGCGGCGCTGGTGCTCGAGGCCATCGTCGCGCACGAGGGCCGCGACGACGGGGCCCGGTATGAGGCCTCGGACGACGACGACCGGCCGGTCGTGAGGCGCGCGAACGCGTTCCTGCGGCGGCACTTCCCCTACGTCGCGCTGCTCCTCTTCTGCATGGTCGTGCTCCTCCTGTACCTCGTCGTCCGCGTCAAGATGCTGAGCTACCTCCGGAGCCGCCGGGAGCTCTTCAAGCCCGTCGAGTCGCCGCCGCCGGAGAAGGCCTAATGTCTATAGTGTAGCGGGCGGGGCCGAAGCTAAGTCAGACCGAGGAGGGGGCGCGGGAACTCTTCCGCGCCCCTCGGGACGTCGCCGGCTTACTTGGCCACCATCTTCTTGAACTTGGAGGGCTTGAAGTGGTAGGCCTTGACGCCGACGGTGACCGTCGAGACGACGGTGAGGATGAGCGAGATGGGGAAGACGCCGGACCCGAAGCCCCCCTGCGCGCGACGGGGTCTCGACGCGGCGCGCGCGAAAGCGTCGGGACGCGGAGCGCCGCGCCGACGGGATCCCGCCGTCTCCGTTGTACTTGCCGTTGCTGTAGAAGTGGCTCGCGTCGCCCGAGTAGTTCGGCATGCCCTGTATGGGGGGGGGGGTCGCGGCCCGGTCCGGGCGCGCGCGCGAGCGCCTCGACTCTCTCGGTCGAATCGGGGGGAACGAGCGAGCGCGTCCGTCGCGCGGACCCCGGCGCGCGCCTCCAGCCAGAAGAGGAAGTGGGAGAAGAAGAGGACGAACATCCAGTGCGGCTCGTTTTCCCACGCGAACTGGACGAAAGCCGGGTTGGCTTTCACGGGCTTGCGGAGCTCCGACACGCTCCCGTGGAAGGATTTCTCCGTCTCGAGCTCGCGTTCGACCTCCACGCCCTTGACCGGTGCTTGCATCTTCGTTTTTATTTGGACGGGCGGATCTCTCGGCGTTCTTGGCGAGGGGCGCGCGGCGCGGATCTCTTGGCGGTTCTTGGCGGCGAGCGCTTGCCACGGCTCAAGATTTTGAGAATCACGGACGCCGCCCGGACGCCTAGGCCTACATCTGCGACGCTCGCCTCGACCACCGCGCCCCCCCCCCCTTCGTCGGAGTCGCGCCGCATTTACGCGGCGCCCCCTCGACACACGCCCGCTCGGCTCGGGACCCGTCCCTCAGCGGTCGTAGGCGCGGACGCAGTTCGCGGGGACCTGCGCGGCCGCGTGGATGGACGTGCGCGTGCGGATGATGTCGAAGAGCTGGCTCAGCGGCGGCTTCAGGTTGACCTCGGGCTCGAAGCCCGCGGCCTGGTGGACGCACGCGTCGAGGACGGTCACGAAGCTGTAGCGGTCGAGGTGGCCCGCGTCGTCCGCGGCGTCGTAGAGCGCCGACATGGCCTGGGTCACGTCGAGCGCCCCGAGGTCCGTGGCGTCGGCGATGGCGCTGAGCCCGCCGAAGTTCGCCATTTCGTCGTCGCCCGCGGTCTCCGCGCGCGACGGCTCCTCGACGACTTCGCGCTGCTCGTCGACGCCGTCCGCGCCGCGCTTCAGGAGCAGCGCGAAGACGCCCATGCCAAAGGCGCTCGGCGCCCGCGACAGCATGGACAGGGGCGAGCACACGCCGTCCTCGCTCACGACGCCGGCGATGAGCTTCGCGTCGACGTCGAAGGCCGCGCCGAGCACGTAGCGCAGCTCGTTGACGAGCATGCCCGGGGCGCAGGTGACGCACTTGCGCGCGTCGCCGACGGAGACGACGACGTTCGTCGTCATGGCGCTCCGGAACAGGTCGGGGGGCGCGCGGTGGTAGATGCTCCGGAGCACGCCCAGCCTCGGCGCGAATTCAATTCCCTCCAAGGGCTGCATCGACCATAAATTACGGCAGCTTGAAGTCGTGCCATCGGGAAAAAAAATAGACAAGTGTACGGCGCGCGCGGGCGCGTCACGCGATGCTGTTGTTGCGTTTTCTCTTCTGGAGGCAGAACTCGTTGACGCCGTCGCGGAGCTGGGCGATGACGGCGGCGGGCTCGCGCGCCTTGAAGACCGCGGAGCCGGCGACGATGTAGTTCGCGCCCGCGGCCGCGGCCGTCTCGACCGTCGCGGGCCCGAGGCCGCCGTCGACCTGGATGTCCATGGTCGGGAACTGGGCCCGGAGCGCCGTGACCTTGTCCATCATGGCCGGCATGAAGGACTGGCCGCCGAAGCCCGGCTCGACGGTCATGACGAGCACGAAGTCCGCGAGGAACTCGCCGTCGCGCCAGAGCGCGTCGAGCGCGGCGATGGGCGTGCCCGGCTTGAGCGCGACGCCCACGACCATCTTGCGCGGCGCGGCGCGGATCGCGTCGACGACGGCCGCGGGGTCGGAGTCGGCCTCGACGTGGAACGTGAACCCGTCCGCGCCCGCGTCGGCCATGGGCAGCACCCACTTCCGCGGGTCGCTGACCATGAGGTGCACGTCGAGGAAGGCGCGCGTCGCCTTGCGCAGGCACTTGACCACGGGCGGGCCCCAGGACAGGTTGGGCACGAAGTGGCCGTCCATGACGTCGATGTGGAGCACGTCCGCGCCCGCTTCCACCACGCGCCGCGCCTCGCCGGCCATGTCGCTGAGGTCGCAGGCGAGGAGGCTCGGGGCGATCTTCGCCTCCAGGGAGCGCTCCGTGACGAGGTCGTAGCGCACGCCCCCGAAGCCCCGCGGCGGGGGCAGCCCCGGCGACGGCGGTTCCGTGGACGAGAGGTCCGCCGCCGCGAGGTCGAGGTCGTAGCGCACGCCCCCGAAGCCGCGCGGGGGCGGCAGCCCCTCCATGAGTGTAGGAAACTCCCGGGGTGGTTGTGGGTCCGGGAGCGGCGGGCGACGTGAATGTTTCGTGATAGGACGACGCCTTCTCGATCCGTCGAATTGGGTGTCGACAGCGCGACGTAAGCCGATACGCCAGACATCACCTGGACATCACCGTCGTCGCCGCGCCGCGGTATCCGAGCTGACGTGGTTTTCAGTCAGGCACCTTAGGAACAGAGGGGGCCGACCACCAGGCATACACCAGCCGGGCATACACCGGCATAGCAGCCGCATAGCAGCCGCATAGCGGACGCATAGCGGACGCATAGCGCCGGCGGACGCATAGCAGCCGCATACCACCCGCATAGCAGGCGCATAGCAGGCGCATAGTAGACGCATAGCAGGCCGGGCGCATAGTAGACGCATAGTAGACGCATAGTAGACGCATAGTAGACGCATAGTAGGCGCATAGCAGACGCATAGCAGGCGCATAAGACCAGCATAGCAGGCGCATACCACCAGCATAGCAGCCCGGCGACCGCTGTCGACGACCCCAGGCGACGGCCGCCGGAGGTCGCCGCATAGCAGGCGCATACCACCAGCATAGCAGCCGCATACAACCCGCATACGACCCGCATAAAACCCGCATACCACCCGCATACCACCCGCATACCACCCGCATACCACCCGCATACCACCCGCATACCACCCGCATACGACCAGCATACAACCAAAATCTGATCAGCAGGCGCGCAGGGTGCCATTTAAACGCTAAGTGACGCGATCGACGTCGATTCGTACGCGGAAAGTACCCATAGGCGCGTCCGTGGTGTGTTTGAGGCGGACGTCGTCCAAGTTCGGCGGTGGAATCGGCTCCGGCCGCGCGGTCGTCGCGCGACGCGCGCGGCGCGCGAGCGCCCGAAACCTCACGGGAGGCGTAACTCCGGGAGAAGTAGACGAATCTTGACGGGGACTTTTGCGCCGGGGAACGTGACAGGACCGCCTGCGTGTGCAATCGAAGCCTCGGCCCGTGGCGTCGTGTGCAAAAATGCACAGAGATCCCCGGTTTGGGCATTGAAGGCAACTTTCCGGGCTCTCGGCTCCGAGCGGAGACGCTCTCAGACGCCGCGATCACCGTGAGGCTGTCGAGACGGGTTCGGACAGCCTCGATCTGGCGTCGCAACCCGCTCTGAAGCTCTGGCGAGGCCTTGCCGCGTCTCCGCTGCCGGGCACGCGGCCACGGCGAGGTTTTCTGCGTCGCCCCGTGCTGCGGAACCGGTCGCGCTGCGGGATTGTGTGCGGAGACGTCGGTTTTGCGTTGGAGAGTCGGGGTGCGACGAGCCAGATGCCTCCGAGTTGATCGGGCGGGTGGTCGAAGCTGTCGAAGGCGTTGCCGGTACGAAGCGGCGTGCCGACGAGGCCCTGGGTCCGAATTTCTTCGAGATCACCCGATAAAGTCCCGAAAACGCCTTGTCATGGGCTGTCGCGGAGCGAGCACCTCAAACCGATCGACGCCGCTGCGTCCGGCAGGCTGTATCATCACCACGGACCACATCTGCAGCGTCACTGTCCTCGCGCACAAGCTTAAGACGCCCGTAACGCACCGAACCCGTTCGCGGCTCGCTGCGGCCATGCGCGCTACCGCGGCCACCACCGCACGCCATGGGCATATCGGGACGTTCGAGTGGCGTGGCCCGTCTCGCGCTGTCCGTGTGCGACTCCTCGGCCGCTTAAAGCGCGTAAAACGAGCGGGAGTGTCGCGCTCAAAGTTAAATGTCCGGTCTTGTTCCTACTGATCTAATTTTGGTTGCATAGCAGCCGCATACCACCCGCATAAAACCCGCATAAAACCCGCATACCACCCGCATAAAACCCGCATAAAACCCGCATAGTAGGCGCATACTACCAGGCATACCGGCGGTCAACCCCTAGGTTCCATTTTACTGCCGTAATTCGCCGGCGAGTGCGAGTTTGCTTGCTTTGCCGGAGGTGTCGCGAGTTTTTCCGTTTGCCGCAACTCGATTTGCCGGCGCAGCTAGTTGCGGGAAACAGCGAGTTTCTGTGGTAAATTGAAGTAAAGTTGTACATCAACTTGAAGTAAACTACGATAAACTGGCTGCCAAGCCCCCACACAACCAGCGCCGTCCTCGCAGGAGGAAGCGCGAAGCGCCGTAATATCCGCGCCAATGAAGCAGAGCTTATTTCGGTCGTTTCCGCGCGTCACGCGCGCCGCGTAGTACGCGGGACGCCACGGCTTGAAGGGCCTCTCGGCCGCCGGAAACCCCGCCCGCCGGCAAACTCGCCGGCGGCAAATCACCGGCAAAGTCAAACTCGAAAAACTCGCCCCTGGAGCGGCAAAGTTTTTACGGTAAAATGGAACCTAGGTCAACCCCCTCGGCTTAGGAGCGCCTAGCGTATGAGCAGGGGGGGACGGGAGGGGAGACTCAGAAGACGGGCCCGCTCCAGGCCCACTTCTCCGCGGGCGCCGCGGGCGCCGCGTCCGTCGAGATGACGGACTTGAGGAGGACGAGGCGCTCGAGGGCCTCCTGGACGTAGGCGTCGGGCGTCGACGCGCCGGACGTGACGCCGATGCGCGCGGGCCGGTCCGTCGGGAGCCAGTTCTCCTCGACGGCCATCTCGCCGGAGACGAGGCGGTGGGAGACGGCGTTGGTCTCGCTGATGCAGTCCGCCTCGTTGATGTGGAAGACGGGGATGCCCGCCTCGTACGGGATCTCGACGAGGTGCGCCGTGTTCGACGAGTCGAAGCCCCCGACGACGAGGATGAAGTCCAAATCCTTGACGCTCTCGTCGTCGACCATCTCGTGGATGGCGTCCTGACGCTCCTGCGTCGCGGAGCAGATCGTGTCGAAGGCGACGAAGCGGTCGGCCGCCTCGTCGGGGTACTTCTTCAGGATCACCTGCTCGAAGAGGCGGCCCACGGCCTGGGTCTCCTTCTTGTACATGGTCGTCTGGTTCGCGATGCCGATCTTCTCGAGGTGGACGTCGGGGTCGAAGCCCTTGGACATGGCCTTGGCGAACTTGTGGAGCAGGTCCTCGCGCCCCTCGGGCGTCGGGTTCAGCATGTAGTTGCAGACGTACTCGGCCTCGTCGATGTTCTTCACCATGAGGTAGTCGTCGCACATGGACGCCGTCGCGATGGCCTCCTCGTGGGCGTACTTGCCGTGGATGATCGTCGTCATGGACCGCTGCACCTGCTTGTCGACGACGTTCCAGACTTTCGTGACCCAGGGGCACGTCGTGTCGACGGTCGTCACGCCCATGTCGCTGAAGTGCTGCATCTCCGCGAGCGTCGCGCCGAAGGCGGGCAGGATGACGACGTCGCCCTCCTTGACGTCGTCGAAGCGCTTGCCGCCGTCGCCCGTCTTCTCGATGAACGACACGCCCTCGTCCTCGAGCATCTTGTTCACGCCCGGGTTGTGGAGCAGCTCGTTCGTGATGTGGAGCTGCTTGTCGCCGAACTTCTCCGTCGCCGCCAGGGCGATCTCGATGGACCGCTCCGCGCCCCAGCACATGCCGTACTCCTTGGCGAGCGTGAACGTCACCGCGCCGTTGCCCTCGCCGCGCGTCACCTCGTAGTTGCTCTCGCGCATCTTGTCGAGCATCTCCGACTTCATCTCGCTCAGCATCTTCGCGTCCACGGCGGCCTTCTCCTCGATGAAGTCCCCGTTCTTCCGCAAAAAGTCCGGCGACTTCATGATGCGCCGCCGCTCCTGCTTCTTGTTCTCCACCGACGTCGCCTGGAGGACCGTGCCCTTCTCCAGGGACACCTCGGCGCTCATGGACAGTTTTGGTCGTCGAATCGACGCGCGGGGGGCCTGCAGGGCCGACGCCCCGGCGGCCAGGGCCGCCAAAACGAGGCCAGCGACACGGCACATTGCTTCGTCAACAAGCCCGGATGCGGTGATGCCAGGCCGAAGGCGCCGAGGGAGAGAGAGAGATGCGGCTATCGCCGCGTGCCCGCATCCACCGGCGTCACGATGTCCAGCCTAATCGCAGCGGAGGACTAGGTCTCGACCTGCACCGCCGGGGCTTACGCGTCCCCGGGCCGCGTAATCCCCGCAGCCCCGCGGTCGGCGCGCGCGCTCCGCGCGCCGTCCCGCGCGGCGTCCCGCCACCACTCGCAACCCAACAGCGACGCGTCCGACCCGCAAAACACACAACTCCGACGATCAACAAAACCCCCGGGCGTCGCTTGAAGTCCGGTTGAACTCGGACGAAAAAAAATCTCAGAATATTCCAGGGGGCATGGTGTAGATCCAAGCATGGCCTCGTGGAAGCTGGAGCTGCCGACGCGGCGGCGCGCGTCGTCGTCGCTGGGCGAGGGCCCGCCGGGCCTCGACCTCGACGACATCACGCTCGCGCCGAGCGCCGGCGCAGCGCCGCCCGCGGGGCAGCCCTGGCTCAAGGGGCTGCTGTCCTTCTGCCTCGCGCCCGTCGCCGCGCCGCACCCGGTCGACGACGGCGACGGCGAGCGCAGCGCGGACAGCCTCCGCAAGGCGAGCTCCATGTCGTTCCACCGCTGCCTGCCGAAGCCCGCGCCGCCGCGGCCGCCCGCGTCGCCGGCGCCGCCGTACCCCGGCGCCGGGTGCTACTACGCGGGCATCGGGAGGCCCTGGACGGCGGCGCGCGACGCCGTCTTCCGGCGGCGCGTCGGCGACGCCCAGGCCGTGCTGATCCTGCTGCGGCACGGCGAGTCGGAGTGGAACGCGAGCGACCGCTTCACGGGCTGGATGGACGTCGGCCTCACGGAGCTCGGGAAGCGCGAGGCGGCGGCGGCCGGGCGGACGCTCAAGGCGACGGGCCTCGACGCCATCGACGACCTCCACTCGTCGGCCCTCGGCCGCACGGTCGACACGCTGTCATTGTGCGTCGAGGCCCTCGGGAAGCGTCTCCCGACGGGGGAAGCCGCGCACGGCCACGCGGGCGACGCGCCGCGGCTGACCTACTGCCGGAGCTGGCAGCTCAACGAGCGCCACTACGGGTCGCTCACGGGCATGGCCAAGAACGACGCGCGACAAAAATACGGCGCGAACCAGGTCCAGCGGTGGCGCCGCGCGTGGCGCGAGACGCCGCCGCGGATGGCCCCGGACCACGCCGCCCGCCCGGGCATCGCGGCGGCCTACGCGGCGGCCGGCGGGTCGCCGAAGGACCTCCCGTGCAGCGAGTCCCTCGCGGCTACGGAGACGCGCGTCGTCGCCTATCTGGAGAACCGCATCCTGCCGCAGCTCTCGCGCGGCCGCACGGTCCTCGTCGCCGCGCACAACAACGTCATCCGCACGATCATCCACCACCTCGACGGGGGCGGCGAGGAGCGCGCGGACCTGGAGCTCCAGCTCGCGGCGCTCGAGATCCCCTACGCGACGCCGCTCGTCTACACGTTCGCGCTGCCGGGCGGGCCGACGGGCAAGCTCTACCCCTTCGCCGACGAGATGCAGCGGGGATGCATCCGCGGCACGTTCCTGTCGGGCGTCGTGCAGCCTTAATTCGAGTCGCTATTAGACGCGGAACTTAGCCACGGTAGTCTTACGATCCTCACGCGGTCACGCGGACGCCCGCGCTCTGGAAGGGCCGCGGGTCCTGGTCGCGGCGGTCCTTGAGGCGGATCTTCGACCGCGGCACCGCGGCGGAGTCGAGGGCCGCCGTCGCCTCGAGGGCCGCGCAGAGCGCGCGCGCCGAGTGGATGGGCATGTCGCGGGGCACGTTGACGCGGTCCTTCACGTAGCGGAGCGCCGCGGCCGTGCCCGGCGGCGGCGCCGCGGCCGTACCGCCGTCGAGGAGGTTCGCCACGGCCGCGAGCAGGGCGCCGTCCACGGCCGCCGCGTCGGCGAGCTCGCCGTTGACCGCCGCGATCTGGGACCGGAACTGGGCGACGCGCGCGGCGGCGACGAGTTTCGCGTCGTCCGGGACGGGGACCGTCGTCTCCGCCGGGACGCCGCCCGCGCGCGCGTCGACGAGGTCGCGCGCGGCGGCCTGGGCCGCGTCGCCGGACTCGTAGCAGCCGCCCATCTGGGGCGGCAGGTCGTGGCAGTGCGTGTGGAAGTCCGACTGCGTGCCCACGTAGGCCTCGCGCGTTTCGAGGGTGTCGAACCAGGCGCAGAGCCTGGGCCGCGCGGCCGGGTCGCGGAGCCGGAAGCCCTTGTAGTAGAAGAGCGACGCGCTCATGCGCTCGACGTAGGGCACGAAGACGACGTCCGCGGTCGTGAACTCGTCGCCTAGGAAGAAGGCGCCCGGCCGCCGCGCGAGCAGGTCCTCGACGGCGTCCGCGACGGCCTCGAACTGGGCCTTACTTCTCTGTTCGGCAGCCGCGGACCGCTGCGGGCGGCAGAGCCACTCGCACCAGGCGCCGAAGAGGCGGCGCTCGAGGCGGCGGCACGCGACGACGTCGCGGTCGTTCATTTCACGAACGAGCGGGCCGAAGGTCGCCTCCAGACGTTCCAGGATCACGTCGGACTCCGTGACGATGCGCCCGTCGAGCTCGACGGCCGGGAGCATGCCGCTGGGCACGACGCGCGTGTACCACGCCTCCTTCTCCCCGTAGCAGAACATGGTCACCTTCTTGACGCGGTACGGCACGCGCTTCTCCTCGAGCCAGAGCCAGATCTTCTGGCAGTAGGGGCACCAGGCGTGGTGGTCGCGGAAGAGCGTCACGCGCACGTCCTTCTCCGACGCGCCGAAGAGCCGCAGGCGCGACTGGGCGCAGGACGGGCCGTGGGCCAGGTCCGCGACGCGGCCGCTCGTCGCCTGCGCGACCTTCTTCCACGTCCACATGGCTGCGGTTGCGATTCGTCGACGACGACGCGGCTGTAGCGTGGCGCGCGTCGGGCTGAGCGTCTGAGGTGTCGCAGAGGTGAGAGCGGTGCCAGTGACTGCAACTTAAATCACTTGAAGTTCGCATCGGCATGCATTCTTCATCGACGGCCATCTTCGACGGCCTCGTGAACATTACGTGATGGCAGCTCGAATCTGACTTTGGGGCTGGGCAGCATGCGCGCGGCATGCCTGCTCCTCATCCCCGCGTTCGCGAGATCGCGCGACTCCCTGGAGACGATCCTCGCGCGCATCGACCCGCCGACCTTTCCACCGAGAGATTTCTATGTCCACCACTACGGCGCCGTACCCGACGGGTCCACGGACGCGCTGGAAGGCTTCCGCCTCGCCATCGCCGCGGCCCGCGACGCCGGCGGCGGCCGCGTCGTCGCCAAGGGCGGGACCTTCCTCCTCAGGGGCGGGCTCGACCTCTACGACAACGTGCAGCTCTACGTCGCCAAACGGACGACGCTGCGCTGGGCCGCGGACCGGACGGGGTTCTTGCCGGCCGTGCTCACGAAGTTCGAGGGCACGGAGCTCTTCAACTACCATCCGCTCATCCGCGCCTTCGAGGCGGAGAACGTGTCCGTCGTCGGCGCGGACCCCGCGAATTCCGTCTTGGACGGCGGCGGCGACGGCTGGCCGCTCAAGGCGCCCAAGGACGCGAAGAAGCTGCGCGAGCTCGGCGCGTCCAACGCGCCCGTCGACGCCAGCGTCCTGCGGCCAAAGACGATTGTGAGAGATGTCGACGGGGAAAACGACGGAACGTCGTCACCGACGCGCGTCCTAGGTCGAGGCGCGCCAGTTCGGCGGCAAGGGGCTGCCGCCGAGCTTCGTCCAGCCCTTCCGATGTCGACGGGTGTCGCTCGCGAACTTTAGCCTCGTCAACGCGCCGTTCTGGGCGGTCCACCCCGTCTACTCGGAGAACGTCTGGGTGAGGAACCTGCGGGTCAACACGTCCTGGGACCGGCCGAACACGGACGGCGTCGACCCGGAGGCCTGCAAAGACGTGCTCGTGGAGAACTGCGTCATCTCCGCGGGCGACGACGCCGTCGCGCTGAAGACGGGCCGCGACGCGGACGGCTGGCGCGTCGGCGTCGCTTCCGAGAACATCGTCGTCCGGCGGAACGTGCTCGCGAGCCGCTTCAACGGCATCTGCGTCGGGTCCGAGGTGTCCGGCGGCGTCGACAACGTCTTCTTCCTCGAGAACCGCATCGAGCGCGCGTTCCACGCGATCTTCGTCAAGTCGAACTCCGAGCGGGGGTCCTTCGTGCGCTACGTCCACGTCGCGCACGTCAAGGCCTACGACCTCGCGGGCGACTGCATCCACTTCACGAACGACTACAAGGGCGTCCGCGGCGCGAGGCCGACGACCTTCGAGAAGTTCGCGTTCAAGGACGTCATCTGCCGGAGCGCGGTCTTCGCGATCCGCGCGACGAGCCTCGCGGCCTCGCCCATCGCCGACGTCACGATCAGGGACGTCATCGTCAAGAGCACGATGCGCACGACCCCGGACCACCCCGTCTCCCACCCCGTCGCCGTCGCGAACGTCGCGAACTGGGAGGTCGCGAACCTCCGCGTCAACGGCCAGGCCGTGGACCTGTCGAACCGGGCGACGGTCGCGTACCGGAAGTATACGCCGAGTTAGCTCGCGGGCTCCGCCGACGGCAGGCCGAAGCGGACGCGCGCGCGGCGGCACGCGCGGCCAAAGTCGGACCCGAAGTGGGCGAAGGGCTTGAGGGCCACCGCGTGGCCGCGCGCCGCGAGGACGCGGTCGTCGACGTCGTCGTCCGTCGTCCGCGCGAGCTTCCTCAACTGGTCGAAACCCGTCGCGCGCAGCAGCGGCGCGAGCGCGGCGCGGTCGACGTTCGCGTGCGCGAGCGACAAAGCCGTCAGCCGGGGATGGCGCGACAGCGCGTCGAGGGGCGCGGCGTCGGCGAGCGTCGCGTGGGACCCCTCGACGACCAGCACCTCCAGCGCGGGCCGCTTCGCCGCCACGAAGGCCACGAGCGCCGCGACGCCCGCGTCGCCGGCGGCCGGGTCGCTGCCGGGCTCCACCGCGAAGAACCGCGCGTCGACGAGCGGCCGAACTTCGTCCGCCGCGGCCTCGAGGAGCCCCCCGTCGAGCCAGACGTTGTCGGCCCAGAGCACGCGCAGCCGCGGCGCGTCCAGAAAATAGCGCGTGAACGCGGCCGCGAGCCGCGCGGGCGCGTCCGCGCCTCGCACGTCGCCGCCGCCCGGGAGCCGCGTCTTCGGCTGCGCGGCCGCGAGGTCCAGCTCCCGCACCTCCAGCGCCTCGAGGCCCGGCGCCGCTTGTGCTAGATTCTGGAACGCGCCGTCCGCCGCCGCGACGAAGGACCGGAGCGCGCCGACGAGCTGGAGCACGCGGAGCCGCGCGAACGGCGCGTCGGGACCGCAGAGCAAGGCGCACGCGGCGCCGAGCGCCTCGAAGCCGACGGCGTCGCGGCTCAGGTGGAGCTCGCGCATGGTGCCCCGCGACTCGCGCAGCAGGGGCAGCGCCGCCTCGCCGAGGAACTGCGCCGAGTTCGCGGACCGCTCGCGCGCCGCGCGGCTCTCCGCGGGCCGCCGCCGCAGCGACGGCAGGTCGTCGAAGGGCGGCGCCAGGTCCAGGGCGCAGACGCCCGCGCGCCGCGCCCGCACGAACCGGGCCGCCCCGGCGAAGAGGCGCCGCGAGATCCGCATGCGCCGCGCGGCCTCCTCGACGGCGCCCGCGGCGCCGAGGTCGCCGGCCGCGTGGCAGAGCGCCCGGGGCTCCCAGCGCCGCCCGGCGACGCAGCTCCGCGCGGCGCCGGACACGTCCTGGCAGCCGCCGGCGGCGACGCGCGAGCTATGCCCGAGGTCCGCCGTCGCCCGGAGACCGCGGAGCGACAGCGCGAGCGGCGCGTGGCCTGGGCAGGAAAAGAGTGATTCAAGGTCGCTTCAACATGAGTGTTCCGCGCGCGCGCGTTCCGGAAAAAGCATCCATGCTTCGATATCGTTCCGAGAGATGATCGCTCGTCCAAAAATCAGCCGAAACGAGTGGAAAACGGCCGAGAGAGGAGCCTTTGAAGGTGGGAATTTCGCACTCTTTTCCCGCCCGGCGCGTGGCGCGCGCGCTGCTCCGCGGCCTTGGCGAAGGTCTTCGACGCGCCGGCGCAGCGCGCCAGGTCTTTGGCGTCCAGGGCCTCGAAGGCGAGGGCCCAGACGCCCTCGGGCACGGCGGCGCAGGAATTCGACGGCCCGCGGCTCACGGCGCTCAGGAGCATGGACTCTAATTCTTTCGACAGCGCCGCGTCGCCGGGGCTGCGCGCCGACCGCCGGGGCCGCGCCGGCCGCCTCCGCGTCGTCCGCGGCGGCGACGACGTCGAGTCGAGGCCGCAGCCCACGCGCCACGACCCCAGCACCGTGCCGGCCATCGGGGATCGATAGAGGGAGGGGCACTGAAGCCTTCAAGGTCTCTTCGGCATCGATGTTTCCCCAGCTCGAGCTCGTAAAGCTCGACGCCGGCTTCGTCGTCGTCGCGCGCTCGCCCGCCGACGCCTGCGCCGTCGGTCTCGGTTTCGCCCACGCCTGTGCCGGCGCTGCGCCGTCGCCCGCGCCGTCACCCTCGACTCGTCAATCTCGCCCACGCCCGCGCCGACGCCTGCGCGCCGTCGCCCGCGCCGTCGCCCGCGCCGACGCCGCGCGCCCGCCGCCATGTGCGACTTCTGGGTCTCGAAAGCGAAGCACTACTGCAACTACTGCAAGGTCTGGTGCCAGGGCTCCAAGGAGTCGATCAAGCGCCACGAGGACGGCAAGTGGCACAAGGACCGCGTCGCGGCGATCCTGAAAAAGAAGCGCATGGGCCCCCAGCGCACGCCCGACGAGCGCGACCTGCAGAAGCAGCTCGCGGAGATCGAGGCCGCCGCCGCGGCGTCCATGGGCGCGTCCGCGCGCGGCGACCGCGGCGCGTTCGCCGGGGCCATGAACGTCGACGCGAGCCGGCTCCCGCAATCGCACAACGGCGGCGCGCCGTCGCTCAAGGCGACGTCCTGGCCGGGCATGCACGACGCCGGCGGCCACCGCGAGCAGCCCCGCGAGTGGGCGGGCCACACCTGGCGCATGCCCGGCCAGGGCGGCCCCGCGGCCCGCGAGGAGGACGACGAGGAGGAGGCGGAGGCGCTGCTGCCGCCCGACGACGACGGCACCTACGTCGTCCGGGGCACGACCTACTTCGCCGGCGACAAGCACGTGGACAAGCTGCGCACGCGCGGCGCCGTCGAGGTCTGGCTGGAGGCGGCGGACGCGTGGGTCCCGGCCGCGATCGTCAAGGTCAAGCGCTTCTCCAAGGGCGCGGACTCGGGCGAGACGCGCGTCTACGACGTGCGCCTGACGAAGCCCGAGCCGCCGCCGCCGCCGCCGACGGCGCCGCCGCCGCCCGACGCGGCGCCGGCCGCGTGGGACGCGTGGCGCCGGGCGGACGCCGCGAGGCGCGCGCCGCCGGAGAAGGAGGCGCCCCTGAGCCGGACCGCGCGGCACCTCGCTGTGCCGAAACCAAATCTTCAACCCGACTTCAATGTGAGCGTATTCGAATGTTTTGACACAAGCTCTTCGGCTGGGCTTCGAGAACTCGACGAGAGCGATCGATCCGTCCAAAAATCAGCCAAATCGACTTCGATTTGACCGAGCTAAAGAATTCTCAAGTTTGGTCAGGACCACCCAAACCAGTGGTTGGTTTCGGCACAGGCACCTCGCGGCCGTCAACGGCGACGACGCCATCCTCAGGGACATCCGGGCCAAGGATCTGCGCGTCGCCGCCGGCGCCGACGGCGAGTTCGAGCCCGAGACCGTCGACTTTGCGGACGGCGCGGACCGGCCGCCGCCCGAGTCCGTGCCCGCGCCCGTGCCGGAGGAGCGCGACAAGGCGACGGGCCTCGGCAAGTGGCAGACCGTGTCCGTGCGCCTCGTGGACGAGGCGGCCGAGGCGGCCAAGGCCGAAGCGCAGCGGAAGCGCGACGCGGACCGCGCGGCGCGCGCGGACGCGAAGCGGCGCCGCGACGAGACGGCCGACGCGGACCGCGCGGACTGGATGTGCGAGCGCGAGGCCGCCGCCGACGCGCTGTCGTCGCAGCTCGGCGTCAACGACCGCACGGACGAGTACCGCGGCATCAAGCTCGCGCCCGACGCGCGGCCCGCCGCGGAGGACGCGCCCGCGCCCGCGCGGCCGCGCGACCCGGCGCTCCCGCCGCCGGCCTTCAAGAAGCGGCGCGTCAACGCCGCCTTCCGGAAGAAGGCGTCGTAACTTATGTGTTGGGCTTCCTAGGTGTCGCGGTCCGGGAAGCTTTCCAGCGCGTTCGCGCGCTCAAGGCGGAGCTTCTGGGACAACGTCGGCACTTCGGCCTCAGAGTCGGAATCGGAGTTGTTGTAGAATTCGTCTGTCGGCACGTGGTCCTCGGTGTATGAGCTGAGCCCCAAGTGGAGCCGCGACGCGGCGAGCATGCCGACATGAAACCCGTGGTGGTAGTCGGCCGAGTCTCCGCGGAGCGCATCGAAATCGGAACGAAGCACATAATTCCCAGGCGAGGAGTACATCCGCCGAGCAATGTAGTGGGCCTCGTGCTCAGGGTCCTCGAACGCCTCCCAACCGCGGCCCATTCGACCGAACCACACGAGATCACGGTAATTGCCCGAGTGCATAGAGGCCGCTGCCCGGACCTCGTTGAGGGCTTTCTTCGCCTCGCGCAGCTCGCAACGAAGGCGGTCGCGCTCCTCCTTGAGTTCGGTCACGTTCACCTGAGCGACGACTCGGAGCGCATCCATTCCTCGGGAAGATTTTGCGCTAATCGGCGGGCCCTTCTTGTGCCGGTCTTCGGGTTTGTCGCCACGACGACGGTGAGCCGCTTTCGTGGCGAGCTGCTTGCGGGGCGGTTTGCCAGAGGTTGAACGGCGCCCCGTAAAATTCATGGCAACCCCGGGCGGTTGGCGCCACCAAGTCGGCACCAGGTTGCTCGCAAAAGTGATTTTTGCCAGAACTCATCGGCGACGAACTTGCAAGCCTCGGGAATTCGACTGGAGTAGTGTTGTCGCGCCGCGCGCCGCGCTTGTAGTCGCAGGACGCGAAGATGTCGAGCATCGCATCGGAGTTGTAGGAGAAGCACGCGGGGCCGCGAATACGCGGTCGCTCGCGAAGATGCGCGCGCCCCGACGACCACGCGTCCTACAAAAAGAGAACTACACAACCGAATTACTTCGTGAGGCCGTTGAGGAACGGCCGCCAGGCGGCGCCGTGCTCCTCGCCCGTGACGCGGGACAGGCCCGCGGCCCACTCGTCCCGGCCGACGGAGTCCTTGCCGCCGGAGATCGCGTAGAAGACGGCCTCGACGGCCTCGGCGTCGTAGTCGCTGTTGATATCGGCGACCTTGGCGCCCATGGACGGCTTCGCCTCGAGGTCCGCGAGCCGCTCGACGAAGGTCGCCGCGGAGACCTCGTCGTCGTCGCCGAAGACCGCCGCCATCGGCGCCTCGTGGCGCCGTCCGTCGCTGTGCTCCTGCTCCAAGTAGCACGCGACCCACTTGGACTTGCCCGCGTTCATCTCGTCGAAGACGCGGCTGTAGTCGCAGTTGTCGCAGCCGCCGTGGCAGCAGTCCTTCATCTCCGGCGTGCCGGCGC